AAGGGGCGGAGCCTCGGGGTGTGACAGAATAGACAGTGACATCATCAGCATGTGAAGCAGAGAGAGAGGAGAAAGGAAAAGAGCAAAGGTAAGGAAGACAGGAGGGAAAGGAGGAGAGAATTTTTAGAGACAGAAAATTTTAAAATGAACAAAGGAAAATAAAAGGGGACGAGAAAAGGAATAAACTAATGGAGGGTACGACAAGCACAGAAGGAATCCAGGAAAGGAAAGATGAAAAGGAGAGATAGAAAGTATTAAAATCAATAAGGATCAAGAACAAAAAGAATATGGACTAAGGACAAAAACTGAAAAGGAGATAAAGTAAATAAATAAGTACACTAAAGAACAAAGGAGGGAAGGAAGGAATGTGTAAGAACAGAAACAACCTCTTCAAGAAAAGACAAGAGTTTATTACATTCAAGAGGCAAAGTTGTGTCTCTGTGGGTCACCAGGCTGCACTGAGAAAGAGGATGAATTTCTGTCTCACCAGATTCTAAAAAACTGTTCATGTAAAACAAAGACATGACAAATAAATAAATAAAAACACATGTGAACGTCTGATTTAGTCTCATTACCAAAGGGTTTTCTGCAGCACCGCAACTCCAACACAGCCCTATGCTGAAAAATAAAAATGTTGAATTAAATATTAAAAATACCACTATGGATCATTAAGACCAATTAATAAAGTTTGCTCATTTGACTTATTATCTAAATTGTCCTTTTTCTTGACCGGGCTGTGTCACTAGAGATTCATGATTTTTCTCCATTTCACATCTTAACCCTAACAACTCCAACCTCAGAGTGTGACTGGGCCACAGTGTCGTCCAGACGTGCTGCAAAATGAGAAGGAACACAATCTGAAAAATGACAGACACACACACACACACACACACACAGATGATGTATAACTGCACTCCCACTTGTAGACATTCAGAAAAACAACTGTTTGTCGTGATCGGAGCCCATTGTTGTTGTAAAGCTGCTGTGTTTGTGTCAGATTCCAGTGTCTGACGTCTGTGTGTCGACACTGAGTGAAACTGAACCCAACGTTTCTACAGCTTTAGTCAAAGTGCTTTCTGTCGTCCCTGATTCATGCAGAGAAACTAACAAAGATGTGACAAAACGTCAAAAAGTATCGCAGAGATGCATAGACAAAGGAGAGGGCTCGAACAATAACGCCCCCTATAGGGCGTTCTGGACATCAACAGGAGAGGAAAATTCTTCCATAATAAAAAATAGAAATTATTATAAAGCAGCTAACATTAGAAGGGATATTATAAAAAAAGGACTCCTCTGTGTTCAGAGCTACGGCTGCTTCTTCACATTATGGTGAGAAGTGAGAGTTAATTAACTTCATCTCACAGGCAAACAGGAGAAACAAAAAACAACAATCTTATTTCATTTCTCTACGTCTAAGTAATCCATGCACAATCCCACCACCAAGAGAACTCTTGCTCTTATTTTAAAGTGACAGTTCAGGTTTTTTGTGTGTGTTTTTTTTTTTACAGTGCAGTTGTTTTACCAACTGCAAAAAGCCACCCTGCACCATGTGTTAAGACTAGGCCTATGATAAATTAAAATTATAGTTGCTCAAACCAGAGGTCCACAGGTACCGGGGTCATATGATACCAGGATGCAGAGAAAAATATAAATAACATATTATTTGCATTTTGATTGTCAGTGTAAAAGATTTGCAAAAATGACCAGACTCTGTTCTCATTACCTCTGGACACAGCATTTTTTTAAAAAGATGACAGCTTTTTACACTACATTATACTAGAATAAAGCAGGCCATTTTTTTTCATGAAATTCATGACAAACCTTGAAAAAAAGATTTAAAAAAATCAAATCAAAAATCAATCATCACTCTGTCTAACCTTGATGGAACCACTGTAAAAAAAAACAAAAAAATAAAAACCCTGAACTGCCCTTTATTGTTTGTAGTGCTACTAAAATGCAAACCCTGAATATCCACATAGTCATCACTGAAAAATATCTGTATGTACAATGTAGTTTCAATAAAACTCTCTTTAAACTCCATTTTAGCATGCAGTCAACTGCATAATATACAGGCAAGTAGTACGTTCAGATGTTGTTTCTTTGGCAGACCAGAATCCAGCTGGACATGCATAGAGAGGTACAGTATGTACAATCAGAAGTAAACAAACAAAAAAAAAAACAACAAAAGAAGAAGAGAAACTTCCAGGTCAGTGCAGCGTCTGGACGCTCAGGTGACCTGGACGTTAAGAGTCTGTGTGCAAATGTCAGAAGAGCCACAATTATTATTACATCAAAGAGGAGAGACCAGTGGTGTGAGAGCAGGTCAGAGGTCAGAGGGTCAGAAGGGGGGGCAGAGGAAGAGAGAACGTCTGCCTCACTGCAGCCAAATGGAAAGTTTTTTTAACGTCAAACACTGACACCAAGACATTTCCTTTTCAAACACTTCCCATATGTTTGTATATTTGAATAAAAAATGAATCAAGTAAAAATACAAATTCCAGGCTACATATAAATCAGTCGGTCTGAAGAAGTGTCTCTCAGGTGAATTTTTTAGAATCTCCCAATAGATTTTTTTATTTTTTATTTGACTAAATAAGTGAATATTGTTGTGGCGTCACTGTTTGACATCTAACATCTGTTATTTCCTGTGTTGGCTGCAGTGCTGACCCTGGTCACCTGAGCCTCTCTCCACCACTGGTGCAGCTCTCTTCAGAGCGCCTCGTCCTTCTCACAGTCTGGAGAAACAGGCCTGGAGACGGTGAAAATGTCCTGACGTTGGATTTTGGTTTTAGGCGTGGTGGCGGTGGAGGCAGTGGCTGCCGCAGTGGGCGGAGCCCCTGCTGTGGAGGACGGCCTCTGGTCTGACAACAGTCTGATGATCTCAGCCACCCGACCCTCCAGGGCACTGAGGTGGCCTCCGAGGGCCTTGATGTCCTCCCGGAGCTCCAGCCGGGTCTCATGCAGCGCCGCCTGCAGGGCCTGCTCGGGGATTGGAAAAAAAGGATGAGGAGACCCGGCCCCTCCTCCCTTCCCATCACCTCCTCCTGGGCTGTGAAGCAGCAGTGGTGTGAGTGCAGCCGGTGTTCGAGCCTCTCCCGCTCTGTCGATGCGGAGCTCACTTTTAGTGATGCCACTGTCGCAGGAGTCTGTCTTCCTCAGCAGGTTGGAGTCACTCTCCTCCTCCTGCTCCTCCCTGCTCCGTCTCCTCCTCCCCTCCTGACCTTTGCCCTCCTGAGACAGCATCTCCACAGACACCGCCTTGTTGTTCATCAGCCCCTCCTTCCTGGCCTCTACGGTGCTCACGTTGTTCTTTAGACGAGACCAGGCGCTGGCCTTGGCGGCAGGTTTTGGAACCACCGGGCTGGTACTGATCTTCATCCTGACTCCATGATCACTGGGCTGCAGTTCCATGATGTCACAGTTGTTCTGTTTGACCGTGGGCTCCCCGTACGCCAGGGCACCGTGCATGGGTGTGACCTGTGACACTGTGAGCACGCTGCTGCTCCCACTGCTGCAGGGAGGAGCTCCGTTCTGGACGGAGGAGGGGAGTGGCCTCTGCAGGCTGAGAGGCAGCGAGTGCTGCAGGCCTGAGTGACCCAGCTGGAGGCCACAGGGGTGGAGGTGCTGGTGCTGCTCCACCTGCAGCTGGTTCTTCTCCAGGTCCAGCTGCAGGTTGCTGCCACCTGCAGGGGGAGGCCCCTGGCTGCGCATCTCCTTCTGCTGCTTGAACTTCTGGAAGAGCTTCCTGACAGGATGGTCCTGCGGGATGGTGAGCTGCACCTCGTTCTTGGCGCGCTGACGCTCCTCCTCCTCCTTCTTTACCTCACTGATTTTCCTGAAAATGATCTTGAACAAGAAACAAAAACAAAAGAGAGAAGTGATGATTTATTTAAAGCACATTAATGCTGTACTGCACATTCAGTCTGTTTATATTAACATATATTTAAACACAACAATACACAGATTCCTTATTTACTGCATTTTTAAATATATTTTCTTGTTTGTAGTGAGACACCAAATTCCAAAGGTAAAAGGAATGAATTTAGCTAACAGGGACACAAGCTCACTGGTGCCTCTAGTGGTCATTTTGTGTCACTGTGGTAAATCTGGAGAAAGTATTTCATATAGTGAAGTGACAAATTAAAACATTTAAACTCATTGTTATATGTAGCAGTGGAACAACTGCTGTTTGTCATGGAGTAACATTTTTATTTTTCGAGATTGAGATTTGACAGGGATTACAAATTAAAGACGTTTATTTTTCTGGTAAACAAAAAACATCCAACTGTAAGTTAAAGAGGGAAATATATTCGCAAAATTATTAAAACCTAAACCTGAATACCCTGTGTCTACAACAATTATTTTAAAGAGAAAAAAAATTCAATAAAAATTGCACTGAATAATAAACCACTTCACCACCGACTGATGCACATTCATCATCACAGATGAAGCTTTTTCTTTAACGAGAAAAAAATAAGATTTATTACTACTATGATTATTATTATTATTATTATTATGGAAATGTGTCAGCGTCTGTTTTCACTTATTATCACTTCACGTGTCACATTTCCTGCATGCTGCACACTGATACAGGAGATTCTGTGTGAAACGATCCATCACAGCTGCGTCTCCTCCTGCTCCGTTCATCACGACACCAGCTCCTCTCCTGAATCCTGACTCACATTAATTACATCAGGAATGAAAGAAATCCCTGCAGGGTGAGCGGCGGGCATGCAGCCAGCGGCCCGAGATGTTTTTTTTTTTTTTTGTAGTGTTGTTCTTTGAAGAAGAACATTTCTAGGTGGATTTAAAGTTTGTTTTAAGTAAGGACAAAATAAACAGGATGATCTGGAAAGTTTAGAAGTAGAATATTTCTTTGGAATTAGTTCAACACATGCTTTAAAACAGAGGCAGCAAGTCAATAAAATACAAAGTATTGGAAATGATCAAGTGTTTCTCCTCTATGACTAAACTGATGAGACAGATCACACATGAGTTTGACTAAATTTACGCATGACTCAATTTAAAAGTAATCATTAGCTAACCAAAGGGTTACCAATAGCCAGAAGATAACAAAGATAAAGAAAATCCTACTGTATCGTCAAATTATAGCTCAATGACATTCAAATATGAAGCTAAAATAACAAAGCTAATTCAAAATAAGCTGAGAATTAATCAAAAGTATTACAAAGTAACTATTTATTAGCCAAAAGATAAAGTTAAATGAGAAACTGACTTCAGTGAAAATAAAGGATTTTCATCAAGTTACAGGATCATTTGGACTTTTATTTAATCATCTGACATTTGATTTCCTTTGATATCTTCCTGAAATCTCCATCCAAAGTCCAACCATCTGAATCATTTTGACATCCTTAAACCTCCTCCCTTCATGTGTCTCCACTCATCAAACTCACTCGGAACTAGGAGGAGACACTGTGTCAGTCAGACCTCAAACCTCTGCAGCGTCCTGGAGGCAAATCAGCGAAGATTAAACTTTAAACGATAATAAATGATGACACAAGCGGAGTGGTTGAACGAGTGAGTGAACAAACTAACAGCTGCTGGTTTTTAACTTATTTCACTTTCTAAAAAAAAGGACTTTAAATTAACTTCTTTTAACTTTAAATGGGGATGTTTTCATATATATCTGAGGTATGAAAGTGAAATTTCAAGTGCAGGGGTAACTGAGGAATAATCAGTGTTGACTGTACTGTGAGCGCCCCCTGCTGCTAGAAGTTTTTCATTTGTATCTTTTCCTAGTTTCACCACACATGCAGATAGTTCTACTTCTGCTGCTGATGGTAAAGCCCCAGAACCAACAACCACGGAATACAACATTAGAGAGAGAGAGAGAGAGAGAGAGAGAGAAACAGAGAGAGACAGAGAGAGAAGGGGGGAAGAGAGAGAGAGCGCTGAGTCATGTCTTCATTACAGTCAAGTCATGATTTTCTGACCAGAGGGAAGAAATAAAGGAGGACACATTACAGAATACAAATCTGAGCAGAAGAGGAGAGGAAAATAGTCAGTTAGATTTATGGGACCACAAACACTCACGCACGCACACACACACACACACACACACATGCATGTAGAGTCCACATCTGATAATCATATCCATAGCTCACTGTCAGTGTAAAGTGAGTACAGAGTGTTTTCTGCATATTAAGAAGTAAAGAAAGGAAACGTTCAAACAGAAAGAGGAAAAGTAAAGGAACAGACGACAAGAGGAGAGACATGGAATGACAGGAATGAAGAAAGGAAGATGAGAAAAGAAAAGGAATCTCCTCTGTTCGCTCCTGCTACTGTTTCCTGCTGTGGGTTTAAACACAGTTCCTGGGACTATTTCTAATCCCTGGCACTAGTTCTAATCAATGTTAATAGGGGTCACATGTAGAGTCTGAGCATACACACTCACATTCACACCTAAGGTCATTTTAGAGTGAACCACTAACCACACCCCCCAACCTCCATGGTTTTGGACTGTGAAAATCCACACCTATACAGGGCGAACATACAAAAAGGTGAAGGCACCAACCACTGCAGGTGGCTATGTTTTTACTCTAATTGTGAGCGCCTTTTTTCTCAGGCTTGTTTTTAACACAGGTGTTGTCCAGCAGGGGGCATACATACAGTGTACGTACAGTATATCCTCAAACCACGTTCTCTTCAAAAAAGAAGATAGAAGTAGCACAACATGAAAGGTTTTTCCTTAAAACTTCTCTGTTTTCATGAGTATAATCAAAACACCTCCCCTGAAGAAAAACACTGGTTACTGCACTGCATTCTGGGTGATAAAAGCATTTATACTACAGCTATGTGGAATCGTTTTTGTGTTTGTGGTTCTGCTTGTGTTTTACATCATCTTTTTCACGTTGTCTCATGTGTTTTAAGTAAGTAACAATTGAACCTGTCTAAACAAAGGAATCATAAACTGTCATTTATGATTCCTTCATTTAGACAGGTTCAATTGTTGTAGTTTGGGAATTAGCATTAGCGAGAATTTGTCTGAAAACCAAGTGAATTTCTCCGAATGGGTTGTATTTTTTTTTATTCTTTCCTCTTTTGGTCGTGTCTCCATCGCACTCTTATTCTCTGTATTTCTATTTTTAGCAGCTTCATGATCGTCGGTGCTCTCGTCTGCCAGAACAGCTCTGTAATGTTCTCCCCTCCCCACTGCTGCTATTATTGTTATTTCATTTTCTCACTGAAGCTGGAATCGCAGCCAATAGTCAGGTCCAACACACACACACACACACACACGCACACATGCAGGGTGGATGTGCACTGAAACTCGATTTTTGTATTCACTCCAGCGTTTGTTGTGTAAGATGAACTAATGTCGATCCATCACTGACTGCTGCCTGCGCGTGTGTGGAACAAAGAAGTGCAACTCAACAAAAAGAATTTAATCAAGCTCAGGATCGAGGTCTCTCACACACACACACGCAGACGCAGACATGATTTCTCCACCAGCATCCTGGATTAAACTTCCCACACGGCTTCAGGAGGTTATTACTCCACTTCCACCTGTCAGGGCGACTCCTCGGAGTCTCCCAGGACCACAGTGACGTTCTTAGCAAAGTAAAGATCGGAGAACGTGACCCTCTAGTCTTGTGGAACCAACCACCACTGATCTCAGAGATTACGAAACATTTCAGCCCTTTGTACCAACAAGAGTGGGGGGCCTCTGATGTGACACACCATTTCCCCAAGGATAAAACCTACATGTACCAGTAGATGAGGTGTTTTCCTCTAATGGTCTGGACCAGGAGCCCAAACACCTCAATAACAGTCAAATGTTGCCCTGGAGGTAATAAGAATTAGAAAAGAAGATTCGTACCAAGTGTTAGTACTAGAATTTATATATCAAACCACAATAAGACTTTTGTTTTTACTGACCACAGGTGTGACCCTACAGTGATAGAAGGTTACAGCAGTGGCCCTCAGCTCACTGAGTTTAAGACTCCAGCGTCCAGACTGTGTGGACATGACATGGTCCAATTTCTATTGCTGCAAATTCATCATAAACCAAACGTTGTAACATATCTCACAGCATAAACTGAGTGACCACAGATAAAACCTCCTGTTTCATTGGAGTCAATATTGTAAAAGCAAATATAGTTCAAAACTTGACTGACCTTTATTCAAAACACAGTAATTCCTCTAACCTCTAGGGGGCCAACCCCCACGTTGAGAACCGCTGCATTAATACATTACATATTTATGTACATTTGTTGGTTTCATAGTATTGCAGCATCCATACTTTCATATTTTCTGACTAAAATTGCTGTGTTGTAATGGTACCCTGCTGAAGCAGCTGGTTCTCACTCTGATTTTATTTTTCCTTACATAAATTGAATTTTCCCCTCTGTGTAGCTAATAAAGAGAGTTTTGTAATTCCTTGTTTTGTACTTAAGATATCCCTGAAAACAGAGAGCAGTAAATCCAATAAGCTTCTTTTTTTTTTCCCCCGTTAAAAAAAGGAAGTATTAATATGAGTCGTACCTCACCCTTTTCTTGTCTAACTTTTCCTCACATTTATTTCCATCTTCTCCCCACTGAAGCCTGTTTATTGATTCCACAGATGAGTCGATGAGCTGGACGGCAGTCTGGTCTGTGCTTCCTGTGGTTTGTTGTGAGTTCGTATAAAAATCTGCTTTGATTTTATTTGAGTATATCTGTAGCTGATGGAGCATTAAAGACGCTCCTCTGTCCCACAGTGTATTGGCTCATGTTTCATTACTCAAAACACTTTGCATAATTCACATTGCAGCTGCAGGAGTGTGTGTGTGTGTGTGTGTGTTTACATAGCTGTCAACTCTCTTTACATCAGCGTCTACAGACTC